TTAAAAAGCTGTTGAATTACTTTTTAAATTTACCGCACAGAGCCCTATCATCAATACCTTTTACCAAAGAAGCTGACTTTTCTTTCTGAGGTACCAGATGCAGGTTTACTCATACTCAGCTTCCCAAAGGTTGTTCTGTCTTGCCTTTAAAAAAAAAAAAAAAAAAAAGTTTGTGTAAGTTACTGCTATTACAATAATTTCACCTTTATGCTAACTTAAGAAAACTGCAGCACATATTCATAACAGAAGGCAAGTTAGACTAGGGTAGATGGATTTAAGTCACCGATTTTAATTGTGTTTTGCATTAGTACTTTTTAATTACTGTCCTAAAGAGAGGCTGATTTTCATTGATTGGTAGCCATTAAAACATACTGATTTACAACTAAATATGATCTTTACAATAAATATGCTGCTTCTTTTTGTTACCAGGAGGATACAAAATGCCTATATACATTTAAGCAAGCAATTATATAGCTTAAGATACATTCAGATTCTTAAATTTGACATATTTATTAGATTAACTTTATACTTGCAATGTGTGTCAAGGTCTACTTGGGTGGAAATTCAAATTCAGTTTAAAATGCACAAAACTGATACTCACTTTTTTATTAAATAAAACCACTTTAAATATGCAGGATACACAAGAAAAAAACATTTATCAAAAAATGTTAACATGATTTGCATTTAAAACCGACTTATTAAAAAAAGGAAGTATTATCTGTAGTTAATGAATTGAACTGATTGTTTCTGGTCACTATGTCCTGCAAGATTTTAGAACTAACAGATATCCTCTCACACAAAGTTTTTATTTTTAGATTGGGAAAGGAAGACAAGCTTTCTGGGTTCAGTGCACATCTTGTTTCTTAATGCTGAACTAGTTGAATAAACTAAAATGAAGAAAATATTCTCTCTGCAGTGCACCTGCAGAAAAGGCAACTGCTACTTCAATAAGCACTAGTTCCGGGTACTTACCCAGTGACAAACCACTGAACTGGTGGAACATTCTTTAAAAATTGGCAACAAACACATATTGCTTAGAATTATTTTTTGCTTTTAATTTAAATGATTGTAATAGATTATACTAAGTTAAGGCCTTAGCACAGGTTGACTATTTTAAATTGGTTTATTTTTAAAAAATAAACCTGTATTTAAATTTAAAAAATCTGATTTTTTTTTTTAAAAGCACCAATTTTTATCCACCCTACGCTAGACTAAGCATTCTAGAATTAACAGCTTCTTGGTGCTGCTGACCAGTTAAATATATTCTTTGGAGCCTGTCAATTGTATAAAAGCAATGTTGCCAGATGTTCTGTACTTGATAATGCAACAAACAAAAGTTAAAATATGAAATTTTAATCACATGAAAGCCAGGAAAATAAAGTTTTAGCTTCCAAAGAATCATACATTGACCATATTTGTATGCAAACATAAATTATGAATTGTTGTTTATGGATCTGACCCTGCAGAGACTTAGACATGCTTTACCCAGTGGGATTAATAGTTAACTTTGTGAAAATCCATTATAAATGGCTTGATCAGTGACACTTACGCCTGAGGTGTATGAAGACCCATCTTGTTGGTATCCTGCACTCTCAGAGGCATCATGGATTGCCGACCACTGCTACCAGTGGTACTCGAGCTGCGCCGCATTGTGATTAAACTACAAGGCAAATTATGTTGGTATTAGAGGAAAGTCAGTGTCAAGGAACATCATTCTTCTTGTAACATCACAGCCATTATGTGCAGGGGCTGGATTGAACTAGGGTGGGTTGGTATGTTGGACCAGCAATTATCTGATGGCCCTAGCATTCCTGAAGAAATTGAAGTTTTGTTTAAGAAAAAAATAGTTAGTCATTATAGTTGCAAAGTAAACCTCCCAAATGTATACTGCCTGAGCCTGCAGATAGACACCAAAACAAGAGCTTTATCAAAGGGATGACCTGTCTCATTCACCTTTGTGATGCGCTAACTCTGAAGGCCAATGATAGCAGCATTAAACATTTAAAGGAACTATTTCACCACTGCTGAATGCAGTGTTAGTTCCAGGATATTAGAGAGACAAGGTGGGTGAGGTAATATCTTTTATTAGATCAACTTTTGCTGGTGAAAAAGAAGTTTTTGAGCTACCCAGAGCTCTTCTTCAGGTAAGAGAAAAATAATCTGAGTGTCACAGCAGAATATAAAGAGGAATAGATTCTTTAGCATGAGAAGTTAACACATGTTGCAAGAGACCATTTAAAATGAAGTGGACTGTTAACACTTCTGCAGCCATAAGTCAAAAGAGGGTTACTGGGTTACAGAATGTTGTAATGAAACATAAAACCAGTGTCTGATGAATCTATGATTTTTTTAGTATCTAGCAGAGTTATGAATTTAAGCTCCCAAGTTCATCTTTTCAAGGTGTTGTACAGGTTTCCTCTGAGGATGAGGACTGAGAGGTCAGATATGGATTGACTGCTTTGTGAAAAGTGTTCACCTATGGGTGACAGGGTGTTTTTGTATTATTTTTTCTGTGAGAGTTCATTTGAGAGTGTAGTGATTGCCTGGTTTCACCCACATAGTTGTTGTTGAGGCATTTGATGCACTGGATGAAGTACACAGCATATTGTGATAGGCATCTGTAGGACATATGGATCTTGAAAGATGAGTTACGGGTGAGAATGGTGATTGATCATTGTAGTAGTGGAGGTATGTCTGCAAGTTTTTCATCTGTTATTCTGGCAGGGTCTGGGGTTGCTTTGACTTGGTGTGTCCTAGTCTGTAGGGAGGTTGCTTCTCATGAGCATGGCAAGATTGTGGGGAGTTGTTTGAAGACCAGAAAAGGGAGTTCCAGAAAGAAATCGTTCAGGATGTGGTCCCCATCAAGTATGGGTTATAGTTGTTTGATGATATTTCGTACAGGTTCCAGTGTGGGGTGCTAGGTGACAACTAGGCATGTGTAGTCAGTGGGGTTATTATTTCTGTATTGAAGCAGGTTCTCTCAGGGTATTTGGGTGGCCCATTCCATGATGTGAGCTACTTCTCTGGTGCAGTGTCTTTGTTGTGAAGGAGGTTTTAAGTGTGTTAAGGTGTGTATCCCAGTTTTTTTCTCTCTAAGCATATTCTTGCTTGGGTGTAGATAAAAGATTTTTTGGAATGTCTGGGTAGCTACTGGATCTGTGAAGTTAAATATGGTGATCCATGGATTTCTTATATATAGTTATCTGTAGGGTTCCATTGATGGAGCTAATCACGATGTCCAGGAAGTTGATGCTGATGGGCAAGTGTTGTAGAGAGAGTTTGATGTATGGGAGGTGGCTGTTGAAGTTGTGGTGGAAATCTATGAGGGAATTTAGCTTGTTTGTCTAGATGATGAAAACATCATTGATGCATCTCAGGTATACTATTGATTTCATGGAGCATTTTTCCAGAAATTCTTCCTTGAGGTGGCCCATGAAGAGGGTAACATATTGGGGAGCCATTGTCTGTTCCCATGGTTTGGACAAAGTGTGTGTTATTGAATGTAACGTTGTTATAGAGAATGGAATGGATGAGTTTTGTGATGGGATGGATGTGTGTTTTGCTCCCTATTTTTTAGGTATTTCAGGCAGGCAGCGATGCCGTCATGATGAGGGCTGTTGGTGTATAGGGAAGTGACATCCATGGTGGTAAGTATAGTGTTCTGAGGGAAGCTGTTAAAGTTTCAAAGTTTCTGGAGAAAGTCCATTGAATCTTGGAGGAAACTTGCCCTTTGTATGGTTTGAAGACAGGTTCTAGGAGTCCTGATATTCCTTCAGTAGGAATACCACACCCATATATGATGCATCTGCCTGGGTTTCCTGCTTGTGTATATTGGGAAGCATATAGGAGTTCCCTGGGGTGGTTTTGTGAGGGGATGAAATTATAGATGGGCATCAGCTCCAGTACAACACCAGCCTTTCCACAACTCAGGCACCCTCCTCAGAACTCTGGTAATCCTATCCTTACAGGTTAACATTAGGTGCACCCCAACCTTCAAGCCCCCCTCAAAGAGCATTCCCTTGCACTATCCAGACCCTGTCATTGGATACTTCCAGAAATTACCAAGTCCGCTATCACCAAAGAGACAGTGTACCCATCAGCCTGTTGGCTCAGGGGAGGAAATGGACCCCACTTTAATATATTGCACGGAGATTAACCCTTTCCCCTGTGCGATCTCTTTGCTGCAGCAGATACGCTCTGCAGAGAGAGCTGCAAAATCCAGGAACGTGTACATGGGGTGTGTATGGGGAGGGAGGTGAGAGGAGTACAGCCGTGCCTTGGGACTAGCTAGTTGGCAGTAAGACCTGTCCATGCCCCAGCCCCACTGGCAGGCAGGGCGAGGCGAGGGCTCTGCGTGAGACACACCCCCAGCTCCTTCTCTCGCAGGCAAATGGGTCCTAAGTAGGGTTGCCAACTCTGACTAAAGCTATTCTGGAAGGTTTCCCCCCCACATGCTGCAATATCATTTTCTTAAAATATCCTATTACATCTCCTGGGTTGCTGACAGTAGTCACTGGGAGTTCGAGGCCAATCCGGGGGGGTTGGCAACCCTAGTCCTGAGGAACCGGGCAGCCCCTGGGGACTCTGCCCCGGCCCACCGGGGAGCGGAAGCTACTAGCAACTGCGCCTGCAGAGCGGGAGGGGGCTTAAGCAAGAGGCTCCAGCCCCAGCCAGACCGCCCCGCCCGCCGGGTGCCCCAGCAACCCCCAGAGGCTCCCTCCCGCCCTCTCCTGCCGCAGCCGGGACTGCGGGGCCGCACGCGCCGGAGCCATCCCCCACTCACTCACTCACTCACTGTCGTCGTTACAGCCGCCGCAACTTTTTCTTCTCCCCGTCCCAATTTCAAATCCACCCGCCACCTGCGTCACTCGGCGTCACGCACTCGGCGTTCTACCCAATGCGCGCAGCCGAGCGTCTTACGTCAGGCGACTCTGCCACTGGCTAGGAGCATCGTCTAACAGTGGTGACCTCACTTCCGTTCTCCTCCGGACGGTATTTGTTCTAATAGCTACGGCATTTTAAAAAAATCCCGCATCAGCATCGGGTTTACTAGCAGTCGTAGCTGTCGCGCTTTAGCGGAAGTTAGGGAACAACTGCCTGACACAGCTGTTTTGTCCGTACAACAAGATGGCTGCGCTCAGTGTGGGCTCTAATCGCTCAGGTGGGAAGACCTTCTCCTCGCACAACCAGACGTTCGCTTGCCAGTGTCCGAGAATGAGGGGCCAGTAGGTGGGGCTCCCACAGGCAGGGCACATGGGGCTTCTCTGGGACCCGAACAGGGGTCCCGCGAGCGGTCTTGCTCTCACCCCAGAGGCGCTGCCCGGCCCCGAGCTGCGCACGCCCTATCACGGTGCTGCCTAGGTCGCGGGCTAGCGGGGCAAGGCAGAGCCCCGGAACAGGTGCTGCTGGGCGAAACGGGGGCAGATGGCTGGAGGGCCGAGGTCATATCAACAACCGGGACACAATCTGGGTTTCCGTAGAGCTGGCTGTGATTGGCGCTGCAGCCCAGAACAAGCCCAGCCTGGCCCTTCGAGGTGTGCGGTGACCCGACACCCTCTCTGGGGGCTGCAGGATCAGCCCCCTTCCCTGCCCACCCAGAAAGCTGCAGAAGTCTGGCCAGGCTGTATGTAAATTCGTGGCACGTTATTTTCAAAGGGAGACTCGCGCTTTCCTGTGTCGGGGGTTGTCTAGCACAAGCTCTCAGTTTACCTAAACACTGTCAGAGCTGCTAATGGGATAATCATGGAGTAGAGAATTGTGGCATGTTATATAACAGGCTTTTATTCTGTATATTATAGAGACGTTGTGAAATAAGCATACAGTAAGAGTGCTATGGCGAGAGCGTTTAAAGACTGGAGTTTCTGCTGCGTTATTAACAGTGCATGGTGGGGGTCAGCAACAGACTGTATATTTGAAATGCTTAGCACACTTTAGGCATTGTTTTAATATACTTCAGTAATTCTATAAAGTCTGTTTTTGTATTAATTACAGGAAAAATCTAAACTGGAAAACAAGTATGAATTTCAGTTCCAATTTCTCAGAGACTGTCCTTGAAAAGGAGAGAATGTGATGTCTGTGGTGCATCAGCTGTCAGTTGGGTGGCTACTGGATCATCTTTCCTTCATCAACAAGGCCAGTTACCAGCTTTGCCCTTCCTGCCAGTGCCCTGCTCCCTCCGCTTCTCATGTTGCTCCTGTTTCTTCCACCCCTTCTACAGAGGATATTGTTGCTCCTTCCACCGTTGATACTACTTACTCTACTGGAGCTGCAGTAGAGAGAACAGGGGCAACACTAAAGAAAAACTATGTGTTTCGGGAAGAGTTCTTTCATGTTTTTAAGCCCCATATAGTTTCAGCTCCCCAACAGAAGCCCCAGCAAGAAAGCTCTGATGCTGGTCCAAGGGAGGGGAAGGACAGTGGCAATGGAACAGAGCAGCACGAAGGAGCCAAGAACAGTGATGGGGATTCCCTTGCCAGTGCTAGGAAGGTATGGTCTACAGAAAAAAAAAAAAAGACCATTAATAAAATAACTATGCATCTACCATAACAACTTCTTGAAAATTGTCTTGCTACTTCTTGAAATAATTTAAAGCACAAATTGTTGGGGGGTGGGGCAAGGAGGAAGCATATCCACAGCAAATTTCAAAATGTGAACGAAGTCTGCACTTAAAAATTGTGTGAAACCGAAGCCTTTGCTAGATACTTACAAGGATTTACCCAGCTCCTTAACAAGATGATGTTAGGACCTTGTAGCTCATGACGCCATTTTCAAGCCATCAGTACTATATCATTTAGCATGCATCTGCTAAACACTTATGGTCTGAATTTTCAGAAGTGCTGAGCTGACTTCAGTGTGAGTTGCTCAGTCCCTCTGAAAATTAGTAGATGCCTGCCCAGCAAGCTTAGAAACGACTTTTTAATTGCTTGTTTTTGATTTCTAATGTTTTCTAACTTCTTGAGGGAGAACTAGCCACATACAGAGTTGGAATTTTTGTGTTCTGCTATTTTTAAATTATTTTTACCCCTCCCCCCAAATAATTAATCCATTCTAAAATAAATCTGTGGCCAGATGTTTAGATGGTGTAAATTCACTGATTTAAGTGGAGCTATGTTGATATCTGATATTCTCTATTTTTTTCTTCTAAATAACATTTCTAAAATGGCTGGGTGGTTTCTACTCAAACTTTTTAAAAAGAGTACCTTTGGCTGAAATCCATCATGAATCATTTCAGCCCAAAAGAGCAATGTTAGGAAGGAAAGACTGAAAAGAAAGATTTGTAATGGAACTTTAGATGCTTAGGTAACCTTACAGTAGTGATGTTCTGTAAAAAATAACTTTGGACTCCGTGTTAGACTCTGAATGACTCCTTGGTTAAACTTGCTCAATTTACAAATAACTGGCATGTCTATTTTTTTAACAACTATTTTTTACAAACTTAGTCTCGGATCTGTGAGTCAAGTTGTTGAGGTTTTGTTTGTTTGTGTTTTGGCTAACGCCTAATCATCAATAACAAAGCTGCAAGTGAAACTAAACAATTTTGTTGATTATATGTAAGCCTGAAAAGAATGCAACTCACTACTGATTTTAAATTAATAAAACTCATTGTTAGTCAAAGAAACAGCTATACCTATGAAAATGCTCTTGATGCAGATATGTTGTTTAGAAAGCACCTTTCATTACACACTCAGTTTTCTGACTCTACTACACCTTTTTCAGCATTTGTTGGCATGTTTGCTATTCTATATTGAACCTGTTACACTCTGAGTGTGCCTGGATATGCAGTATGTCCACTGGAGTGACTGAATAGGTTTAGGATGTATACAGTAGAATCTCAGAGTTATGAACACCAGAGTTACGAACTGACCAGTCAACTACACACCTTATTTGGAACTAGAAGTATGCAGTCAGGCGGCAGCAGAGACCAAAAAAAAATAAAATAAAATGGCAAATCAGTACCGTACTGTGTTAAACATAAACTACTAAAAAACAAAGGAAAAGTTTTGTTTCTGTGCCTGTTTCATTTACATTAAGATGGTTAAAAGCAGAATTTTTTTCTGCATAGTAAAGTTTCAAAGCTGTATTAAGTCAATGCTCAGTTTTGAAACTTTTGAAAGAACAACCATAACGTTTTGTTCAAAGGTATGACCAACCTCCATTTTCGAGGTGTTCGTAACTCTGAGGTTCTACTGTATATATTAAAGTCTCTTCATGCTGTATTATTGAAAATTTAATGAAGATGAGGAAAATGATGGATCTCTGGACTTTGTCAATTGTTATTGCACTTCATTTATTGACCCAAAAAATAAAAACTTATATATATATTTTTTACTTTAGTTGCAAATAGTGTTTTACAACTGCAGGACTATTCTTACACTTTTCACAAGACTGTATTTAAAGAAAATTTATTTGCCAAGGATGATTAAGTAGTTCTGAGGGTTATTTTTTTAAATTAACATGGTAAGGGTGGGTAAATATATTTTGTGCCTGGGCTTGAAAGTTTTCATGACAATTTTGCTGATGTGTTGCATGTAGCGTTCATTGAAATACAGAAATATGAGGTGCATCTGTTCCCTTTAAATTTTGTGTATATGATGTATGGGCTAAATCAATGTATGGGCTGTATCTTTCTGGAGTTAGGTGACACATTCTTGTTGGCAATAGCCTGGGCTTGGCAACCAAACAAAGATTTCATAGCATTTTCATCTGGAGACAGAAAAACTAAGCAGTGAAGATTAGAGTTAATATGAGCTGTGAAGTGGCATATCATTGAATAGCACTGGCAAACAGGCTGATACAGGCTCTTACAGCACAGATTTCCGTATATACTCGTTCATAAGCCGAATTTTTTTAGTAAAAGGAAGCACCAGAGAAGGGTGTAGAGAGGGAGAGGTGGGACACAGCCCATCCCCCCAACAGAGGAAGCAAGGAGAGGCAGCACAGCCAGAAGGGAAGAGGTGGGGCCAGTGTCTCTGCTTCTGGCCGCGCTGCTCTCCCCCCCCCCCAGCCTCTGAAGCAGCTGCCCCACACCCCAAAGCAGGCTGTGGCTGCACTGCCCGGCCCGCCAGAGCTCGCTGCGGTCGTGCCGCCCAGCCCGCTGGAACATGCTGCAGCCGCACCGCCCAGTCTGGCCCGCCAGAGCAGGCTGCGGCCGCAGGGAGCAGCTCCAGCCAGGCCAGAGACATCCTCCCCAGATAAGGTGGGAAGTGATGGGATGAGGAGAGTGTGGGGGTCCCGAGCTAGCGGTGGGGTCATGTGGGGGATGGTCACAGGGGTTACTCCCCTGACTTCCAGCTTCTCTTCCCGCCCCCCCCCCCCAAATAAAATTCTCTACCAGTTGCTGTCCCGGCACGTCAGGATAAGCAGCTGGTGCGCCGGAGCACTTTGTTTACTTAGGTTTACCTCTGTGCTTGCAGACACTCGAGGTAAACAAACCATCTTGGCCCACCAGCAGCTTATCCTGATGGCCCGGGAGCCAAAGTTTGCTGACCCCTGAATTATAGGGTCAGCTGATGAACGGGTTATAAAAATTTTCCATTTTTACTTATCCATCTGGGGGGGGGGGTCGGCTTATAAATGAACCGGCTTATGATCGAGTATATATGGTATTTTAAAATGACTGTGGCACCATCAGAAGCTGACTATGACAAAAGACTTAAGTTCATAAAAAGAAGGGTATGGCAAATTGTTACAAGCTCTGAAGGCATGTATATGTTTCTCTAGCATATTTTTGCCATGTAGTAGCACAGCTGATATTTTTTTTCCCCATATTTTGTTCACTGCAGAAACGTAAAAGAAAGTGTAGTGTGTTCAACCAAGGTGAACTGGATGCTTTAGAATACCATACAAAGGTAAGCCTGAGCAATAGTAAGTAACAATGACAAGTGTACAGTATGTATCTGTAGGTAATTTATGAATATAAACCCTCTGAAACTATTCCAAAATATATGGAGCATGAGTCTTGTAATTTCAGTTCATTACAGTTAGAGCAATATTTGGTTTCACCAGTCCCCAAGTGGAGGACTCAATACTGGGACTATTTTAAGTGTGTGTGTTTGTTTTTTGTATAAAAATTAAACTGCAGCTGAGAAATTTCAAAGCGCTAGAAACTGGTTTCACATAACACCTTTAATATTCTAGGTAGCTGAACATCCTGGAGTAAGCACCGAGTTAGCTAGCTAGGCAATGTCTGCAAGAAAATGGTACAGATGCGGGTTTTGAGCCTTGACTGTATAAACAGTTCTAATGATGTGTATATTGGACGCTGAACTGAGATTATTCCCCAACTCTTTTATAAAGATGCTCTGCTGTGTCACATCCACTGAAGGGGGGCAGAATTACCCATTCTTTAACCTCTTATATAGTATCCTGTTTGCTACAGTAGAGTGTTAGGAATGAGTTAGAGCCCATGTCTTGATGTGGGTTTGAAGCCATGACCTTTGGAGGTATGATCACTACCAGCTGAGATGTACTGATGGAATCTAAAAATTGAATCTCTGGACAAATGAGCCTTTCTGAACACTTTTATTTATCAATTTGTTTTGGAAAATGTGTCATGTAATGTAGCAAGAAAGTCTTAGACAAGATAAAATTAGTCTGTGCTGTACAGTTTATTTGTAACAAACGAGTTATGTAAAAATGACTAATTAGGGTTGGCATGGAAGCATGATGGGATGCGAATAATAGGAATTTTTATTTTTATGGTGACTAGTTTGGTGATGGTAAAATTTTAAATTTTATTTTCTTCCTTTTAGTCCTTTCTGGAGTAACAGTGGTAGAAAGGACAAACCATTTCAGAACTTCATAATCGCTCAGTGACCAAATCCCCATTCATTTCGAAACTCTTCCTCTGGCACCTTTTTGGTTGCTCACTGGTAGAGTGGCTTACAATGCTAGCCTTTCCCTTCTGGTGAATTCTGTGTATGTTTTAATTAATAGAATTTAATGTTCTTATTCTAGTACATATTTGTTCATATCACAAAACTGCCACAAAGTTGGGATAATTGATTCCTCCACTGCTTTACTTGATAGCAGTTTTTTTCCATCATGGCAAGTAACATGCCTCTAGTGTAAATCATCATTGCTCCATTGACTGTTGTCTCTGATCTCTGTTCTGCATACAGTTGTCTTTAATCTGGTACTCTCAGATTTCTACCTTCCTGACTTCTGATTTCTGCCACCTGAGGATTTGCCCATGATGTTTCGAAAATTTTCCTTGCTCTACTTTTTGAAGCTTTATAGTTTAGATGTAATTTTTTTAACATTTGTAAAACGATTTGAGCTTTAAACATGTCAGTCATGTACATGGAAAATTATTATTGTAGAAATGTGAAGTTACTTAAATGTGGCTTTTTAAAAAAAAATTGTGCTCTTCTTCTTCCAAGGTGAGTTGGCTTGGGAGGATGTGTGAGAGAGTTTAATTTCCTTTTTTGAGTAGGAACTTAGTCTTGACATTTCATTTATAAGAGTAGAAATGCACAGTAAAGTGATGGTTTGTGTTCTAGCCAACACTGAATCTAATTCATGTAAAAATTTGTTGACTGTAAAAAGCAAGAAAAATTTTCTATAAATGTTAGTTTCCTCAGTTCTGTTTGATTCAAACAAGATCTATATCACTTATAGACTGCAAAATAATTTATTACTAACAAACAAAAATCAGAGTTGTAAAAGATTAGTTTGTGTAGTTTTAAAAGTAGATAAAATATATTGAAAGAATGATCAAACACAGTTTTGATGCGGAGAATAACTTTATATTGGCAACAGGATGGGAGAGAAGACATTTGGTGCCAGATGGATTCATATTTTTTATACATGATCACATTGCTAGAAATATATGTTTTTTAGATTACATTTGTAGCAAGTATACACTGATCCTATGGTTAAACATTGGCCCTTTCATATGACATAATTAAAAAATAAACCAGATGCAAAAAGCATAAAGCAATAGATTTTTAAGGCATCAATGCAGGAATGCACTGATGCACATGCTTATGTGTTTCCTGAATAGTAATGCTTTCCTCAATTGAGAGGTGTGTTTGCATTCCTTTCTCCTGATATTGGTAGTAATCACTGTATTAATTTTTATTTTTCTCTTGAAATTGTATTTTAAAATATTAAGATCTATAATCTCTATATTACATCACAATATTTTTATAGGATCCCCATTGTATATTCCAACCAAACATTGTGATCTTTTTATACAGGTAACATCTCCTATCTACAGATCTCAGAATGCTTTAAACTTTGGTTATCTTTATTATTTATAATATAATAAGATCCAGGGGTCTCAGTCAGATTAGGGGTTCAGTATGCTGGGTGCTATACAAATGCATTACTCCAAATTGCTTACAGTTTAAGACCCTGATTCTGAAAAGACTTGTGCACCTACTTCATGAACTGAATTCAATGAGATCACTGTTTGTGAAGTTAAATGTATGTTTAGCACTTTGCAAGATTGGGGTTAAATAAAAACAATGCACGAGGGAGTGAGAAAGATGGACAAGTGATAAAATCTCTTGGGGTATGTCTACACTACGAGAGTAGTTCGATTTTAGTTAAATCGAATATGTGCAATCGATATTAGAAAGTCGAACGTGTGTGTCCACACTAAGGACAGTAATTCGACTTTGTCAGTCCACACTACCGGGGAAAGCGTCGACATTGGAAGCAGTGCACTGTGGGCAGCTATCCCACAGTTCCCGCAGTCCCCGCTGCCCATTGGAATTCTGGGTCGAGCCCCCAATGCCTTCTGGGGGAAAAAAATGTCTCGAGGGTGCTTTTGGGTAACTGTCGTCATCCAATCGTCACTCCCGCCCTCCCTCCCTCCTTGAAAGCGCCGGCGGGAAATCAGTTCGCGCACTTTTCTGGTCAGTGACAGCGCGGACGCCACAGCACCGCGAGCATGGATCCCGCTGCGACCATCGCCGCAGTTGTGGCCGTTGTCAACGCCTCGCAGCTCATCATGCACCTTTCACAGAGGCAGATAGAGAGAAATCAGGCGAGGAGGCTACGGCAGCGGAGTGAGGACCTGAACTCCGAGAGTAGCACGCGCCTGTCAGAAACCACGACACCCAGCGCCGAGGACATCACGTTGGCAATGGGACATGTGGATTTTGTTGAACGGTGATTCTGGCCCGGGAAACAAGCACGGACTGGTGGGACCGCATAGTGCTTCAGGTCTGGGATGAATCCCAGTGGCTGCTAAACTTTGGCATGCGGAAGGGGACTTTCCTGGAACTTTGTGAGTTGCTGTCCCCTGCCCTGAAGCACAAGGACACCCGCATGCGAGCAGCCCTGACTGGTATTTACTTGGAGAAGCTTACTGACTCGCTGTGATCTCAGCGAAACCAATATCCCCATCGTTATAGCAGCTTGCTGCATGCTCCACAATCTCTGTGAGAGCAAGGGGGAGACCTTTATGGCGGGGTGGGAGGTTGAGGCAAATAGCCTGGCTGCTGATTACGCCCAGCCAGACAGCCGGGCGATTAGAAGATCCCAGCGGGACGCGCTGTGCATCCGGGAGGCTTTGAAAGCCAGTTCCAGGACTGAGCAGGGTACCCAGTGACTTTTAAGTTTGTGGACACAGAAGCTGAACTTGCCCCCGTTTCTTTACCCAGTTACCCCCTTCACCCCCTTCCCAAAAAATAAAATCTGTTCTGTTTTGCTAATGAACACCGTTGTCTTCATTACTCTTTTCGCGGGAATGTTTTAAACCTGGGTTTAGTGTTGTGATGCTTCTAAACTGCCCTCCCCCGCCACAAAGTCACAGAGCAACCCCCCCCCCACACAGAACATGAAAGCCACCTCCCAGACTGACCAGGGTAACTAGTCACCGCACTGTGTATGTGCCCTGCTGCTGGGCCTGCCCCCTGCTAAAGGTGACTGTCCTGTCTAATTACCAAGCCCCTTCCCCCCCCCTTCAGACAGACTCTCCTCCAAAAGAAGAGGATGGAAACAGTAATGAACAGAAACGTGTTTTTTATTAACAACCACACATGGAACGGGGGGGTGAAACTTGGACGGGGTCTTGTGTGAGGCGGGTAGGAAAGGACTTTTCAGATTTTGGGGAATGAGAGCCTTCTACTGCTATAGCTGTCCGCTGGGGTGGAGTGAAAGTTTTCACGGCCCCTGCCGCCCCTCCGTGTTTGGACTTTGGGTGAGGGGGGTATGGGACTTGGTGGCGGGGCAGGGTGGTTAGAGAGAGTCTGCAGCGGGGCTCTCTCCTCCTGCTTCCGGTCCTGCAGAACATCCACAAGGCGCCGGAGCGTGTCCGTTTGCTCCCTCATTAGTCCAAGCAGCGTTTGAGTCGCCTGCTGGTCCTCCTGTCGCCACCTCTCCTCCCGTTCCATGTTTGCCCGGTGCATTTGGGACAAGTTCTCCCTCCACTGTGTCTTCTGGGCTGCCTGTGCTCGGGAGCATCCCATTAGTTCAGCAAACATGTCTTCCCGTGTCCTCTTCTTCCTCCTCCTAATGTGCGCTAGCCTCTGGGCAGATGTGGCTGTGGGAATTGGAAAAAGGGAGTGAATTCCTGAGACAGATCAATGTATCTGTGAACAGAGAACATAGTCTTGCTCTGTGAACAAGACCATGCAGAGCACCTATCACACGCGCACTGAGGACAAGGTCGAATTTTCGGCCCTCGCCTACAGTGCCTGCGGTCTCGCTGTGGCGAGCTGAGGAGCGGGGCAGGACACCGGACTTTGTCTAGCTGGCAAACATGGTAAGCCGTAGACTTGTGGCTGCTTAAAACTTTAAGAGTGGCACTGGCCTCCTTTCACATAGAAAGCAATGCGAGTCTCTGCTGGCAGCAATCCTGCAAGCATGAACTCTGCCCCTGTCCCAGCCCCTCGCGGCTGTAAACCGCGTGGCTGTAAACCGGCGGTTGCAGTTCTGTAAAGGAACGGGCAAGCAGTCCCAATACTAACTTTCCCCTTCCTAATTCAAAGCAGGACGTCATGCCAGACATCACCCTCCTGAGGGTCTCAGAGAGCCAGAAGGAGAGGATGCTGCGAGACAGCCTGCAGAAACCGGGGCCATTTGCTGCTATGCTGTGCAAGGCCATGATCCCCGAATACCTGCTGGCGTTGTGGCAGGGAAACGTGTCATACCACGGGGGGCCTAATAAGCTCTCCCTGCCAAAGAACCTGATAATTAGGCTGGAAAGACACCTGCAGGAGGCCTATGAGGAGTTCTCCCCGGGGGATCTCACCTCTATCCCCGGACACATCGACCAGTTTTTGGGTTAGGTGCCCTTGGAGGGACAAAAGAGTGGAGCGTCTTGGGCAGTGTAATCATGAAGCGGACATTGTTGAATTTTCTTAAAATGGTTCGGACTATACATTGAAGCGGCCAAAGACACAGTAATCATGAAACCCTTTTTTCAGATTCCCCTTTTTGTTGCACTTTCCTGTTTACATGTTTAGAAGCACTTTACCCATTGTTAATATTTCAAATCTTCCTGTTCTGTTATAAATAAAAGTTTACATACTTGAAAGCACTTTAGCTATTGTTAATATTTAAAATATGCAAGTTCTGTTATAAATAAATGTTAAGATATTTAAAACACTTACTGCTTGATCCTTCCCCTGAATCTGTGTCCGGGTTACATGCTGGGGAGGGTTGGTAGGGGATCTCTGTGAGGGTGATGAAGAGCTCCTGGCTGTCGGGGAAATCAGCGTTGTAAGCGCTGTCGACTGCCTCGTCCTCCTCATCTCCTTCCTCATCTTCCACGTCCGCTAACATGTCCGAGGAACCGGCTGTGGACAATATCCCATTCTCAAAGTCCACGGTCACTGGTGGGGTAGTGGTGGCGGCCGCACCTAGGATGGAATGCAGTGCCTCGTAGAAACGGGATGTGTGGGGCTGGGATCCGGAGCGTCCGTTTGCTTCTTTGGTCTTCTGGTAGCCTTGTCTCAGCTCCTTGATTTTCACGCGGCACTGCGTTGCATCCCGGCTGTATCCTCTCTCTGCCATGGCTTTAGAGATCTTCTCGTAGATCTTTGCATTCCGTCTTTTGGAGCGCAGCTCGGCAAGCACGGACTCATCTCCCCACACAGCGATGAGATCCAAGACTTCCCGATCAGTCCATGCTGGGACCCTCTTTCTAGTCTGGGATTGCACGGCCATCTCTGCTGGAGAGCTCTGCATCTTTGCCACTGCTGCTGAGCTCGCCACGGTGTCCAAACAGAAACTGCGATTCAAACTGCCCAGACAGGAAAAGGAATTCAAATTTTCCCGGGGTGTGGCTGGTCAGAGCATCCGAGCTCGGACTGCTGTCCAGAGCGTCAACAGAGTGGTGCACTGTGGGATAGCTCCCGGAGCTATTAGCGTCGATTTCCATCCACACCTAGCCTAATTCGATATGGCCATTTCGAATTTAGCGCTACTCCTCTCGTTGGGGAGGATTACAGAAATCGATTTAAAGAGAGCTCTATGTCGAACTAAATAGCCTCGTGGTGTGGACGGGTGCAGGGTTAATTCGAATTAACGGTGCTAAATTCGACATAAACGCCTAGTGTAGACCAGGCCTTGGTTGCCTATATTAGTTATGTGCACAACTTCGGGTTTTTTTAATGAAAGTGTAAACAAACGGTAGCTATTAATGAAACACTTGTAATCTCTGCTAGCCTCCTTTTAAACCATTAGTAAATTAAGCTTTGCATTTATAGCAGTAAAAGCTAACCTCCCCAGGTTGTTCCTCTCCATAGGATGAGAAGTCAGTATAAATTGTTTTAGCATTTATTCATAGCTGTTGTAGGAACAGAGAAACTGCTTTTTTTAAAGTTTTTTTTTTTTTTATAGGAACCCCTTGTACATTCATTGGTATTCCTGAATGTGTGTATGCTAAGACCATGAAGGCTATAATTATATTCCAATATTGCCAACCCCAAGCATTCAAAAATATTGAGATTTTAAAAATAATAAATGTGGTGTTCTTGTTATTTGCCTTCTCATGTTTGATCCTTTAAAAGTTCATTGTAACCATAAAGACTAGAAATTTACTTTAAAAAAAAAAAAGTTGAGTCCCACATAATCTCATGATTCCAGGAGCTGGAGCTTTAAAAACAATAATAAATATTGTAAGATTCATGATAGTTGGCAACACTGATAAATGGACAGTATTCTTTGGTTTATAATTGAAAATAGTGAGGTCATGATGATGATGGATGCAGGGAGTAATTTAGGCTCGGAATCGTTGATGAGATGTGCATTACCAGATTCTCAATTAAAGTCACTGGGATTCTGTGCAGGTTCAAGGAACTACCTGCATGAAAGACTTCCAGGATCAGGGCCTAAGAGGGTGTCATTTCGATGGTCACTAAAAACAAGTTATAATAATTTGACTCACTAATTTTTTTTTATCATTCTTAGTTTAATGCATAAAATATGTTGTTTTTAAAGTGAGTTTAAGGTTCTGGAAAGTTACCATATTAAAATTCCTGGATACTGACATCCTCAGTTTTCCTGATTGTAAATTTGTTTGTCTCAATACGAGTCCTGATGATAACCTGCAGATTCGCAATGTAGCAAATATGTTTGAAATTTCTGTTTAATTCTCCAGAGATCTCAACCAGACATTTCAAAGATCCTTTCCCTCTGCTTTGTATGTCTTATTACTGTACAGATCAGGGGTCTGATATTGGAAGGCACCAGGTGTTTAATCAAAGAAGGACTCAAAAGTGGTTTTCTTCACCCCATTTCTGCAAAACAAAGTAGCGTCAAGAATGTTATTACAGGACATGTTGGCTGTGGGATGGCTGAATTATGTGAAATGGCAAAACATTTTTCTTCTGTGAATGAAAATGACCATCGATCTGCACAAATTGTAGATGAGGAAACATCCATTCCAGAGCAGGATCTGCTTTCATGCGTTACAGAGAACAATACAGACTATGCAAAGATAATAAATTTAATGGGACAGAAGTACCTGGTGCCGCCAAAAAGCAGTTTCCTTTTATCTGATATTTCCTGTATGCAACCACTTCTGAATTGTAAGTATCTTTACTCATTAAAATTTCCTCTTTTTGTCAGTAGCCCGTCTATCTGCTCGCTGATGGAACATGTTGTCTGTTAAGCCACAGAGCCACTTCTCAAGTAATCATCTTGACATTAGACTTCAATGTAGATTGAAGTATTGGTAGTAGGGAACACACTAGCAAGCTGCTACCATTAGAAGTTTGAGAATGAGCTATTCTTCATGCAGATCGGCTGGGATTTTCAAAGAAGCATATGGGAGTTAGTTGCCCAACTTTGTGAGAGGTATCTAAATCCCTTAGGCTCCTTTGAAAATCTCATCTGCCGTGTATTGTGTGAAACTAATAGACGAATGCTTCTTTAATTAGCTAAGCACTTTATTTCTGTGCTTTCCCCAATAATCCATTTAATGAATTTGTGTTGTTTACTCATTTGAATAATTTATAACTACAATATGACAAGGTATTTAAGAAGAGAGAAATAATTTTTTTCCAGCATTAATTCCTTCATGTGTAGTACTAAAAGAACAAATTACTTAGGCTGTAACCAATAATCTGTGACTTGATAGTTACTTTTATTTCCCACTCTCCAATATTCCATTTTAAAATTAAAAAGAAATCACCCATGTTTTGATAAGAAAGACTTGCAAGCTGTGGAATTTAACCTAACAATTACAGTTCTCCCCTGACAAATTAGGAGTTCAAGCTGTATGTCTGTTGAGCAAAATGGCTTACTACATTGAGGTACATGAAAGAATAAGAAGATATTTTGTATTTTCTAAATTAGACCTCAAATTACTGCTGCACATTTAACACCATTTGGATCCTCTCAATCAGAGATCAGATAGGATTAACCTTCTCTTGAATTTCCTGATCTAACATGATGGCATGGCCTCAGGTATTTTCCTGTAAGCCTTACTCCCAAAAGTAGCTATTTCTACTATTTCCAAAGAATTGGCAGATTCTGTCCAGATTCAGGATACCTCCCTCAGTTCAATAGTTGATATCTGAATAGAAACCATCTATCTGGATCTGGAAATCATAGAAGTGTAGGGCTAGAAGGGTCCTAGAGAGATCATCTAGTCCATCCCCTTGCACTGAAGCAGGACCAAGTATACCTAGACCATTCCTGACAGGTGTTTGTCTAACCCAGGGGTGGGCAAACCTTTTGGCCTGAGGGCCACATCTGGGTATGGAAATTGTATGGCGGGCCATGAATGCTCACAAAATTGGGGATCGGGGTGCGGTGACACCATCACAGGACCTAACCAGATCAGTCACACCATCACTGGTTCATTCACGTGCACGTCCACCAATGTAATATACGCCATCATATGCCAGCAATGCCCCTCTGCTACGTACATCGGCCAAACTGGACAGTCCCTACGTAAAAGGATAAATGGACACAAATCAGATATTAGGAATGGCAATATACAAAAACCTGTAGGAGAACACTTTAATCTCCCTAGACACACAATAGCAGATTTAAAGGTAGCCATCCTGCACAAATAAACTTCAGGACCAGACTTCAAAGAGAAACTGCTGAGCTTCAGTTCATCTGCAAATTTGACACCATCAGCTCAGGATTAAACAAAGACTGTGAATAGCTAGCCAATACAAAAGCAGTTTCTCCTCCCTTGGTATTCACACCTCAACTGCTAGAAGAGGGCCTCATCCTCCCTGATTGAACTAACCTTGTTATCTCTAGCCTGACTCACTCTTGCTTGCATATTTATACCTGCCTCTGGAAATTTCCACTACATGCATCCGACGAAGTGGGTATTCACCCACAAAAGCTCATGCTCCAATACGTCTGTTGGTCTATAAGGTGCCACAGGACTCTTTGCTGCTTTTACAGATCCAGACTAACACGGCTACCCCTCTGATTAGTAGTAGTAGTTTACAATACACCTGTAACCAACATGACATAACATAGCAGAGTCCGAGTGTGGCCTAAAACCATCTCTAACTGATCAGCCATTTAAAAATCATTAATATCTGACCCAGTGAACCATCATAACAGAAACATATCTTAGTCTGACACATTTATCGGTTTTCGTTAATTTCCTCAAAATGACAGTTATCATATTGTGGTAAGTTGAAGCATTTTAGTTAATTATTTTTAAAAGCAAAATAGAATATCGCCCCTCTGCCGCACAGTCTAGTCTTCTGGTCTCTGTAATTAGGTTGCTTACACTTTGTGGAACAATTTTAGCTTTTGTTTTAAAACTAGTCTTTCAATTTTACTTTCTTTCTAGATAAGAATAAATATGATGTAATTGTGATAGATCCACCATGGCAGAACAAGTCTGTTAAAAGAAGTAACCGGTAACTTTTTTGTAAATTTATATATTTCCTGTTTTGTGTTTTGTTTTGTTTTTAAAAATCCGCCAAACCCCACATTTGATTTTGTTCACGCGCTAGTGCAGCATTCCTGCAAAGTTCTGATTATGTGTTTGTTTTTGGTTTTTTTACCTCCACACAGATGCAGTTGATATAATATGGTAATGCAATCCAACACATTGATAACTGCTAGCTTTGGCCCCGATCTTGCAAACATTTTGACGCTTACCTAACCTGAAGCATATTCGTATGTGAGTAATCTCATGGATTTCATTGAGACTAGTCAAATGCTTCAAATTAAGCGTGTGCCAAAGGGCTTATAGGATTGGCGCTTAAATTACTTTCCAGGAGAGCTTGAAGCCAATTTTATTGCAAAGCCCCAATCCTGCAAATACTTACGCATGTGCTCAATTTTAATACCATGAGTAATACCATTTATTTCAAAGGAAAGTGCATACACCAGTGTTTGCGGGACTTGGGCCCAATTTGGAAACTTCAGAATTTTTTTGTTGTAGGTTTGATTCTCTGCTTGATCAGTAGAAGTAGAAAATTTAATAATACAGTACTGAAATTCTCAGGCACAATGGGGTCAGCTGCTGAGAACTCTAGTTTGCAAAGTCATTACATTAGAATTTATGGGCCTGTTTCTTAAGTGAGCTACATACATTTTATTCCAACAGGACTCAGTTTGTTACATAGACTCACTACCATGTAAAAGTGGTGAAAATGGTGGAGAATTTGGACATATAACTTTCCAAAGTGAATATTGATATAGTTTCTCTCCTGTAGTTCTGGAAGCTTGCAATTAAAAAAATAAAAAAAATTGCACAGACAGGATAGAGTTGAAGTTAAGTGTATTTCCTGAGTTAGCAAATTTTTTGTGTGGGTTTCAAAACACCACTCTAATCCTGTGATATCAGAAGTCTGATTTTTTTTAAAGTAATTTGTTACTTAGAACATTAATATCCACATCCCATACCTTGCCTCTTAATCCTAAAATCCAAATAGTGTTCCAGATGCCTCTTCTGAAATAAACTGCTCTAGCATACAACCACAGACAATACATACCAATACAATCCTGAAAATCATACTCATATGCACAACATTAACTCTCTTCAGGTGTTCTTAAATAGTAGTAACACATTACAGACTTTTCAAGTGAAGTGTGTCTGTCAGTAAGACATTTTGGTGTGGTCAGTTAAGGTTGTGTGGCATTGAGAAATAGAGGGGAACAGGAGCTACTGTCTTTATGTACATTTTATTTTATTTTATTTTTTTTAATGCTGTCTGGAGTGGTTCAGAACCATGAGTGCCAACCTCAGGGCACACCCCAAACTGGTAATATGTTTTATAATTAGATTTCACCAACCCAGTAACAAGTGTGAACTCCTGGATTACTGTAACAGTCTTACTATGAAGTCACAGACAGTCCCTTTAGGCTCTATCTTGCCACCCAGGCAATATGGACTTTGTGATAAATAGTCACTTACATCAAAGATCACAAAATATTCAGATTGCTCCCAGTCCCAAGAGACTAGTCACTTAACCCAGATCAATTATCTCACACCAAAAACAACACTGGTAGCCAATCCTATAGTAAACTAATTAAGGATTTAACAACTAGGGGAAAATGTTATTTACAGGTTAAAGCACACAACATATATGAACAATTGAGTTCAGTCTATGATTCCAAAAGGTGACAGTGCTGTAGCAATCTGTCAGCATTGAATGTCTTTTCAGGGCTTAAGTCAGGTTGACACTGAGGATGTGTGCTTTGTTTCTTAGCTACAGCCCTAGTAAGAGTGTAAACAGTAAAGAGATGAAAAATCTTCATATCAGCTATTTTTATTTCCCTCTTCCAGCTTTCAAAACAATGGGATGAGGCCTTCTGCACATACTTCTCCATGGGGCAATTAAAGCTTATGTCCTACAATACAAAAAAAAATAATTTTGATAGCCCTCCTGGGTGGGTAGAGGCAGCCACTCTTCCTGTCTGAGTTCACAAATTCAGAGCAGGCATTTTTACAATTATAAAACAAACTTATATTTTACATTGTAGCATGGAATACAGACATTATAAGTAAGATTAATGCAGGCAGCATTTTATACATTCTAAATATCTTTAGAAGTCTAACACCTATCTTGAACAATAGTAACATGTAGGTGAGCTGGTCTGGTTTCCAGCTATGAATTTGTCACCTGACGCCTACAGACTTGGCAAGAGCTGGCACCTGGTTTACCAGGGTCATACGTAATAATACAGTCTGTCCTTTTTTTTTTTTTTAGTAACAAAAAACACATCCCCATCATCCCTCCCCTTCCCCTTAAATAAAACATCCAACTTCCTGTCAAAGCAGAAAACTCAGTTATTTCTGTTCTTGAATGTGGTACAGGTTTGTATTTTGAAATAGCTGCACCACTCATAATAGGATGCACCTTTCTATTTTATCCCCTTTGAGAAAGGCACACTCTTCCACAATGAGTGTAAGTGCTTAATTTTTGAGCTGGAAGCCATCCAAGGGCTTCAGTGGAGATTCCTTTCAGGTTTTTTACTCATTGCAGATCAGTGGACTAACTTGTTGAATGAGGTTTAGCTTCCCGTTCAACATGAGGATCTTGGTCTGTATGATTAAAAATAATTAAGCCAGAGAAGAAATGCATATTGAGATTAGTGCTTAACTGAAAAGAAATAATTCTGCAACATTTATAGGAAGACTGCATCCTGAGTGACTAGTGAGTTGCATGAAAACTACTATGTTACTAGTGTAGATAGCATGGCATTCAAAACAATAAAGAACCACGTCCATAAGTTAGAGACATGATCTGAAAACCTCTCTATATTCTTCACACTGAAGTAAAATTAACTTTACAGTATTCAGATTTATTTTGAGCAACCTACTATACCTCTAATAGAAATACTAATTTAAAATTATAAATTACTTTTGTATATGGTTTGAGAAGTGATTACTGTTTTGATCTTTTAACCTGACAATCCAAGTTGGCATTGTTCTTGTGCTTATAGGTTACTCCATTTGCTTTTCATTCAGATGGGAGATTTCTTATTACAGAGTGAATGGCATTGACTTGAGTGGAAGCTATAATATAGACAGAAACTGTGTCATCAAATAGTTTATTCTAGTGTACAAATGAGAGTATTGGATTAAAAGCAATAATCATTGTCAAAATTAAGACTGGAACTCAGCCTTTTTCAAAAGTAAAATTCTTACAGACCTGACATATTTTGGGAATGGGAGAAATATTTAGATAAAAATTGCAACGTGTGTGTGTGTGTGTGTGTGTATATATATATATATATATATATGTGTGTGTGTGTGTGTATGTGTATATATATATATATGTGTGTGTGTGTGTGTGTGTGTATGTGTATATATATATATATATATAAATATGAGTCAAGAATGACATCCAGTGGCCAAATATGTTGAATGCTTACAAAACCCCCCCACACATATGGATATTATATGTGTGTGTGTGTGTGTGTGTGTATAATTTTTATATATATATCCATATGTGTGGGGTTTTTTGTAAGCATCCAACATATTTGGCCACTGGATGTCACTCTTGACTCATATTTAAGTTTATTTTACTGTGTGGTTTTATTTGTATTCAGGAAATGGTTCTTAAAGAAGAATGTCAGAGTTGGGGCTTTATATAGCCCCTTTCACTGTTGTGGTTTTTTATACTAGTTTTGTGTTTGCTAATACGCTTTCTGAATATACCGATATACAGATACAGCCACTTGTCTTCATGGCAAATCAAGCAAATTCCCATACCATCGCTAGCTGCTCCAAATTGTCTTGTGGTCACATGGGTGACCAATAGACAGAAGCACCTACGTTTTGTTAAGGATGAACTTTATCCTTATTGGTCTGTGAAGACTCTTGCTGAGTGGCACTGGGTGAAAGTAAGTTATGAATCTCTTTGCTTTTGGTGCGTGGGCCATGCAACATGGTGCTTTTCTGCATATTTCAGTAATTTCTCTGTCCCTTAGTGTTTTTTGTATTTAAAGGTCATTACTACTTCACTGGGATGCAGTAATTTTATATCTTCATTTTGTATTGGGGGGGGGGGGGGGGTGGGAAGATTAATAATAACTAATAGAAAAATGTAGCTGTTGTATACCAAGTCACATGCAAAATTTATTTCTCATTTCTTTTTGTCAGATTACCAGATCTGGAGAATTTGTATTTCCATTAGATTCTTCCCACAAAAAACCCTATGAAGTTCTTGTGTTGGGGAGAGTTCAAGGAAGTATAAATTTGCCATTAAGGTAGGAGAGACTATTTTTAGTAAGTAATTTTCTAAGTGGGTGTTCTTTTTGCATGTGTCATTCTTATATAAGCTATATAATAAGCTTCCAGGGTTGTCACTGTGTGTCACTCTGGAGCCTAGAATCTCTGTTTAGTCAGTGTGAAGCGATGGAAATACACAGCTATAAGCATGTCTGAGAGCTCTTTTTGTTCAGAATATCACCAGATTTAATCATCAGTAGGATTTGTGATGTGTTACAATCCAGTTTTTAAGTTCTTAGTCATTTTGACTTTACAAATTACACTTGTGGTACTGTACCTGTACGCTAAGGCATGTATCTATGCCATGCCAGTCACTTTTTGCCCCTCACCTGGTGCATACTGCACCTAAAACTGGCACAGCCGCCCTTGGGAGCATCATCCCAATGAAAGGGGAATTCTCCAGTGGCACAGAGTGACCAAAGCAACTCGTGTCTCTCCCAGCTGCCTGTGTATGGAGCATGGCTCTGGGAAAGGGGACATGGCTAGGGGTTCCCTTTGCTGGCACTTCCCAGCTGCAGTCCTACCTGCTTGGGGCTGTTGGCTGCCATTAGAAGTTAGAGCAGTCCTTTGTCTGTTCTCTCTCTTACTGGGGGACCAGTCCAATGAACAGGTGGCCCAGAATCAGGAGGAAAATAAGTGGCTGGGGTTGTGCTGTGCATTCTCCACCATAGCAGAGGGCTGTGTGTATGTATTTATGTATGCACATAATGTAGGGGTGTGGTTTGGGTTCTTTTGGTTAAAGTAGGTGATATTCTACAGTTGAAAAGTGACAGAACTATCGATTAGTTTGGATATTTTTCCCCTCTTGTTTCATCCCTTTATTACCTATATTTTCTCCAAAGCCTCCGAAATTTCATAAATTGCCCTTTATCTTTCAGGAAAACAAATATACTCAACATTTAGATATTTAGCTTCCCCAAGGCTTACGGTGAAGTCTGATAGTGAACGAGTACTCTGTGTTTTTTATATCCCATTTGAAACAAAACCCCATGAAAATGCGTACCTGTATCACAGTATTGATTGAGAAATCTCATTTATTTTCTTCTGATTTTATACAACAGGAAATCAGATGTGGAAGTACTTCCAATTCCAGACCACAAATTAATTGTCAGCGTACCCTGCACTCTTCATTCACACAAACCTCCTCTTACTGGTATGTTCTTTGAACACCTCTCTACAATATAGTGTTTGTATTGACCAAGATTTTTCAAACGTGAGTGTCTGAAGCTAGGCACCTAAATCCATATATAGGTGCCAAATAGGTAGCCTGATTTTTCAGAGATGCCAAGCAATTGCAGTCAATAGGAATGACGAGTGTTCAACACATCTGAAAATCCTGCCACTTTTAGTTCCTTAAATATGGGTGTTAGGCACCAAAGTTTGGGCATCTCTGTTTGAAATTTTTGGACAGAGGTCTTAAATAATAAAAAAAAAAAAAGTTGCATTTGTTTTATAGTTTATAACTACTTCAAAATTGTTCTGTTCCTGCATTCTGTGTAAAAGAGTTCCAGTTGACCTGAGTTCTTTCCTTTGTGTGGTGAGCAGCATTTCCCTGGCTGGGAATACATAAAATAGACTGTCTGTTGTTTACTTAATTAAAACCACCAGTCTCTTCTTTCTGGGACACCTAATTGTGGAAGAGATTTAATGTATAGAATATGCACATATAGCACAAAACCTTGGGTATGTTTTATATCTTTTTAAAACCACAAATTTAATAAAAATAACTTTTAACAAACTGACAATACACCTCTACCTCAATATAACGCTGTCCTCGGGAGCCAAAAAATCTTACCGCGTTATAAGTGAAACCGCATTATATCAAACTTGCTTTGATCCACCGGAGTGCACAGCGCCCCCCCCCCTGGAGCACTGCTTTACCGCATTATATCCGAATTCGTGTTCTCGGGTCGTGTTATATCGAGGTAGAGTTGTAATTGACAGCAAGTAGACCATACCCATGCTAATTACCAATATCCATTATACATTACAGGAGTTGATCTCCAACCAATCAGTTAGACAAAAGGTGCCTCCCATCCAAGCCCTTGCTCATGCTAGGTCTGAAGAATCTCATCACCTTTGCACAATGCCATGAGGGTCTGCAAACTGGGGCTCTGGCGGATCAATGATGAATTTTCAAATCAAGATTGGATGTTTTTCAAAAAGATATGCTCTAAGAATTTATTTTTTGGAAGTTCTATGGCCTGTGTTATATAGGAGGTCAGACAGACTAAGTGTTGGAAGTATTATTTGTGCAGGGTATTTCCATGACACTAATGTAACCATAAATTCATTTATTAAAACGAAAGGCCAAATGCTATTTATAATTGCTCTAAACATGCCTAAACAATAAGCAATTTAGTACATCCAAACAGTAACAAAACACTTCTAAGCATTTGATCAAGATACTTATAAATGGGCTAACCTCCAGGAGTGCTTAGACCGATATTGGTTGTCTTCAATTTGGTCAGGCAGGTATTAGCAGTGAACCCCTTAAGAGTTGACTTTATACTCTTTTTTTAACAAACAAGCGATGTCATTGCCAATTTTCAGACCTCAGTTAAGGCCAGATGAAGCAGTTTCTTATATAGCAAATTACTTACTGCACCTGGTATCCAATTAACTGTGTTTCATTTCTGTTACTTTAGCCCATACTTTAAGATAACACTGATATTTTGAAGGGTCATTACAAGTTTAACACAACAACTCTTCTTTCGCATGAACTCATTCTTTTTGGTCACATGCTTTGGGCCCATTGCTCATGCTAATATCTCAACTTAATTCAAAACTGTAGTTCACCCAAATCTAATGTGGACCTATGTTACTGCACTAGGTGATCACAGTGGCCCTTCTGGCCTTGGAATCTATGAATTTATAGATTATATCATTGAAATATGCTATACTTGAAGACTCTTCATGTTCCATCTGCTGCAGGAGGTGCCAGTAACCACAGGGAACCTGTTAGACTCGTTCCCTGGCCACTGCACTAAATCCATATTAGGTTTTGGGTGTAAATCCAGGTACTGATGGATTTTATAAAGCTCTAACTGGTTTGGGTCTTGGCTGTTGGAGAGACTGTGTCTCTCACCTTGAACCACCATAAATGAGATCAGTTTGAGTTAAATCACTGGATTTAAATGTGGTGAGAACTTGGTGACAGGGTGTGCAAAGTAGAAGTCTTTCAACTTTAAGTTAGCCCACCCTTCTCTCCATACACACTTCTGACAAAATCCTAATTTGATTACTCTTCTATATAGGTAATTATACTGACCTCATTACTGTAGTATCTGAGCAGCTTCCAGTGGTCCATTAAATGACATGACTAACATTTGTCATGTGTAGTTCGTTCTTCAGGTCATCCTCTCCCGAGGGAGAAAATTGTGTGTGCAGTGTAGTGTTAGTTATGGTAGGGTTAAAAATCATATGCATACAATGCTATGTATTTCTGGTGTAGAAGGCAGGTTGAAGAAGTGTGCCTTGCACTTGGAGTGGAAGGTGGTTAGGTTGGAGGTGATTCTTGGTTCCTGTGGGAATTTGTTCCACATTCTTGGACCAGCCCCCAAGAAGCTCTGTCTCCTGCACTGACAAGATTTACTCTTATGGTAGAAAGTTGCATTGTGTCTGAGGAGCAGAGTTGTCCGTGGCTAGGGTACTAGTCTCAACTCCTTTTGCAGTGTTTATTTTGGAGGGTTTTTTGTTGTTGTTAATAGTGTGTGTTAATATACATGTGTCTGGAGACAAGTAATTGGGCACAACTTAGTAATCTGAAATATAAGCAAGCTTGAATCCATGACCATCTATCAGCAATGTCCTGCAATGAGCCTTATATTCTAAGTCTTTCTGGTTGATTAACAGGGGTTCCTGGGCTGATCTACATGATTGCAAGGCTCATGGTCACTGAAGCAGCCAGGACTCAGACCTCTTAAGACTTTACTGGCCAGACTTGGAAAGACTTTACAGACAAACAGAAATGCAGTCGAGTTGAGTGTATGTAATGTGATAACTTTTGAACGGTGCATCAGATCAATTCCAAAATTTCAGGGAGTGATCTAGTTATCAGTGGGCAGAACCCTATTGATCTGGGGGAAAATGGGGAACATATGGAGTTGCTGTCATCTGTTCAGCGAAGCCACAGTTTCAGGTACCTCTGCACTTGTCTGTAGATCAAACAACTTGTTGATGGTACCCCTTAATGCCTTCCAGCATTAACCCTTGCTCATCCTCCCAATAGAATTTAATGTGTTTGACACCTTGACTGATTTGTCTTCCAGACAGACAGAAGAGAAATCATTTCTCTTCCTGATGGGAGCTATGGTGTAGATGCTCAGCCAGTAGGGGCAGCCAGAGGGAGAGGAGAGAGAAGAAGGCTTCATTCTTCCCTTCTAGTGTCCTGTCTCCACAACTTCTGCTCTGTGGTGGGGAGGGAGGCAGAAGTGTTCCCCTCCCTTCCAGTCCAGGGGGAATAAAGGTACTTTGAACAGACTCCAGAAGAGAGCGACAAAAATAGCAAGATGTATAGAAAAGCTGGCCAAAGACACAAGGTTAAAAAAAGTCTTCAAATATGTTAGGGGCTGGTATAAAGAAGATGGTGATCAATTGTTCTCCATGTCCACTGAAGGTTGGACAAGAAGTAATGGACTTAATTGGAAATAGAGGAGATTTAGGTTAGATTTTAGGAACTATTTTCTAAATCTAAGAGTAGTTAAACTCTGGAATAGGTTTCCAAGGGAGGCTGTGGGTTCCCCGTCATTGGAGGTTAAGCACAGGATGGACAAACACCTGTCAGGGATGGTCTAGATTTACTTGCTGCTGCCTCAGTGCAGGGGGCTGGACTTGGCCTCTCGAGGTCCCTTCCAGCCTGACACTGTTATGATTCTATGAGTATGATTTGAGGGAGGGGAGTCACACAGCCTATGGCATAAGAGGAATGGGTGGGAACAGGACCCATGGTGTGGGGGAAGAGAGGAATAGGGGAACAGAACCCCTGGCATGGTGCTGAGGAAGGGAGATCCTGCTTGCGGGGGTGGGAGATGGAGGGAAGATAGAGACAGTGCTGAAGGGGAAATGGGGGGCAGAGACCCTGGCATGGGGAAAGGGGGTGCACAAAGCCCGTAGTATTGCAGGGGGAGAGTGGGCAATCTTGAAATGGGTAGATGCAGGAATCGGGGGAGCAGACAGAACCCCTGAGGGAACAGATGCAACCCCCACCACTACCAAACCCTCCAGAGGCTTCTCCCTACCCACCAGTTTCTTATTTGGATTGAACTTCAGCCAACTGTCTCGTTTCTGTGTCGGACATTGATTAGGCATCCAATTCTGTCAAAAATGACTTAGGTCACTGGTGATATTGCATCTCAAAATGTCTGATTTCCCTTATTGCTGGGGTTCTCAAACTGGGGGTTGTGACCCCTCAGGGGGGTCGTGAAGTTATTACATGGGGGTTGTGAGCTCTCAGCCTCCACCTACAAACCCCGCTTCATCTCCATCATTTATAATAGTGTTTAATATAAAAATTTGTGGTTTTTAATTTATAAGGGGAGGGGGCCGCACTCAGAGGCTTGCTGTGTGAAAGGGCTCATAAAAGTTGAGAACCACTGCATTAGTGCCTTATATCAACACTGTGCAGGATGGTGGCACTGCTATGTATAGATTGTTCAGGATTCCTGTACTAGAGTGATTCCTTCATACTGTATGTGTCTGATACAAATTATAGAAATGACACTGGTGAATTCCTGTATATGAATTCAGGTCTGAAACTGGCTTAAAAACAAAATATTATACTTTGGGGATTAGCAAAAGTATTTAAAGCCATGGATTTGGCAAAATTAATTATAGTCAAGTAAGTATGATTAGAATTCATCTTTCATTTGTGTGCTTCTTGCTTGTCACTCATATATCTGGTACTAATGCCATTGTAGGCGAGTGGCAGGCACCATGAGTTGGTAGACTTAATGTACCCCTCACTATGTGTGCACACATCATACATCATTTTGAAAGCTTATTATGTCTACTTTAAGATGAGAGATGATGCAGAGCTGTCAAGTGATGCCATTACCATAGACACAGGAATAAATAATGACACTATCATCAAATTAAAATGACCATTTTGAAATATTTGCCTTTTTTTGTTAGTGTAATTACTCTATGTATTAT